GTCGATTTTTTATGGAATCTCCCTTTTGCAATGCTTTCACGATTTGCTGAATTAATCGTTAAATAATCTTGACTTTATTTTCACGTTGTAACGTTGTAACTTTTGTTATAACGTTAGTCTCCACTCAACGGTAAAATACCATTAATAAATAGTCCATTATATTATGTATTTATTATATATATTTTATTTACAATTAGAAACACAATAATTCTCTTATATAAAATACACACAATAACCCCAGGCAACACAGGGTCGTAGAAATCACGTAGAATCGTCGACGAATTGGGTCGAATTTGGTCGAAGTTACATTTCAACCATTTTTCGACGTCTCAAAATTCACCAAAACACGACCAATTATTAACTTAGGTCGATGATAACCAATAAATGACGTCATTATCACGTGAACAGATGACGAAATTTTTAAGAAAATATGAAAATATAGTGATAATTAATAAGAAACAGTTGGCCCGTTCTAATGGGCCGACAAAAAGTTTTGGAATATTTTTAAAAACAAAAATTATTATTTTTATTTAATTTACGTTATTTCGACGGAGAATCAACGTGCAATATTTTATTAAAATAATTTTAAACATTATTTGGTTTTAAACTAATTAAGATAGATTAATAATTATTGGATCAATGGATTTTTTAAAACAAATTCGCGATTTTTTAAATCCTTTATCATTTCATCACAAAATAAGAAATTAACATGTTAGGTACTGCAGTTAACAATCACAATTTTAATTTTAGTAAAATTATTTATCTACAGTGTTGCCAGATGTTCTATAATTATCTTTTTTAAAATAGTAAAATTTAAATAATAATCGATAATTGTAACATAATTTAATCCGCCGCGTAGTTTTGCTTGTTTTAATACAACTTTTTTTTGATAATTTTATATAATTTTCTGTAAATTTGATCATTTTGTCAACCCTCTTCGATAATATTAATTTTTACACCTGGCAACCCTGTTTCTCTTTGACACTACTTACAAAGCGAGGGAACGTTTATTCCTAAAAAACAATATGGTTGATTCATGCGTCCAACTTTTATAATCTGTGGCATTTATACATAGAACAAACCATTTATACTGATAATACTTTGGCTGTGTCAGGTAGGTCAATTTTTGTTTGTTTATTAATGTTTTAATTACTCAGTATATTCCGTAACGAAGTCATAACACCTAAATGAAGTACCTACATAAGCTCCTAAAATATTGACCTGTCATCTGTCTTAAAATTTAATGTGTTTGATTTTATAATAAATGTTTTGAGCAACTTAAAACATGTTTTATTAATTATTAAACCAAAAGCCCTTTATGCACTAGTAAAAATAATTATTTATTCTTATATCCGATATTTTAATGCCAGACATAATATGTATGTGTTTCTTCAAAGATTAACTAACAAATTTTTTTTGATATTCTACTTTTTTACATACATTTATTTTGATTATTAATTATTTACTAAATATATATCTACTATAGTAGTATATATATAGTAGGGTTTACCTATTTATTTCTTAAAATTTAAAAGTTAAAACTAAAATTTTTTTGTTTTTTTAATTTTGACAAAATCACATTTCGCATTGAAATATCTGATATCAGTATCGGTAATTATTTTTATCAGTGTATGACCTAATCATATATTATTCAAGAAATATTACGTGATTATTTACGTCAAATTACGTAAATAATTACGTAATATTACGTGATTTTACACGTGAAATCGCTGTGACATATTGTCGTCAATTTTACGACGATAAGACATGTCTAAGTTGGTGACTTCGACGTCACCGTAGACGTAAATTAAACGTGATATTCACGTCACTGTGTTGCCTGGGACGTAACTATAGTTATATCATTGATTAAGAAACCCAAATTTAAATGCTTGTAAGCATTTAAGCGTTGAGTTTCTTAATCAATGATATAAAGAATAATCAATCGAAATCGAGTACTAAACCAGTTTTTTAGTTTTTTTCTTGCAACGTAAAACACAAATAACGTGCGCGATTTAGCTGTGCAATTGAACAAAATTTGTCGAGTAAGACTTCTGCCTTCCTCTCTTTTCGTATGCTTTAAATGTATTGTTGACAATTCTTAAATTCACGTAATGCTTTTGAAGTCCACCTGATGGCGCGCGCGTTGCTAAAACCCGATACTTCTTTAGCGTATATTATCAAACGTCAACATTATCTACATATGACAAAATGTCGTGTACCCAACAATTTCGATGTAAGTACAAAATAATAATAATAATAATAATAAACCGCTTAAAAAAATTAGTATATACCAATATACCAATTTCGATGTAAGTACAAAATAATAATAATAATAATAATAAACCGCTTAAAAAAATTAGTATATAACGTACGGCGGGGAAAGCATATTAACTGCCTCGCTTAGATATGCAGCCTCTACTATAATATAACCTCTATACAGCACACGCTATTTCTGCACGTTGCACGGCAAGATTTCAAAATTGCAGGCAAAGTTGTTGCAGTAAGATTACAAGTAACATTGCTGGAATGTTTCTACGTTCGTGGCGTGCAGCATCAGACCTGTTCCGAGTACAAAAAAAAAGTACTCGAGTAAAGTACTTTGAAAAAATTGTACTTGAATACAAAAAGTACTCACGAGTACAAGCACAAAGTACTATTTCCAAAAACTCTTAAAATGTAATTTAGGTTTCAGTATCTAGCAAAAAAAGTTGTTAAAAGTTAAACATAACAAAATATCAGGTTTATGTCACTTGGGTATATTTAAAAAAACTGCATTTTTATATTTCATTAATACAAATAACCAATTATTTCGATTTTAAACAGAAAAAAATAATATTAAAATAGATTAACTTCTTTAACTTCTTTTACATAGGTATAACCTTTATTACCTATAAGTATACCTATTTTCATGCAAGTAATTTATTATATATTTTATTTAATAAATAGCCTAAACATTATTTAACTGCAAGCGCGAAATTAAATTAAAGGAACATACATTTATGACTGCAAAAAAACAAGATTGAAAGCAAAAATATAACCTAATTTTTTAAGCGTACCTACCAAATATAACAAAAATTTAATCGAGTATATTCGTACTATACGTAATCAAATACAAAATAATATTTAAAATCTTACTTACCCCAGTATAACAAAAACCAAAACACTAAAAATAATACTAATGCAGATTCTGTATTGCAGAATAATCTCAAATTTCTTTAAAAAAACCGTTACATATGACATTATGACGGCACTACCAGAGATAAAAAAGGGCACTACCTCTTGTAATATGTAATATCTCTATAAAGTATGGGCACCACAATGATATTTTACCAACTTAAGCAATTGCCCATATCGAGGATTTATTCCGAATATTGCCGAAGCGTTAAACTTTAGCTGCTAAAGCATTATAATTATGGCGATATATTTGAATATGTAGTGCCACTATAGGAGTGGTTATGTTAACTTAACACAAAGATGTCGAGTACAAAAAGTACTCGAGTACAACAAAAGTACTCCAGTACATTAAATGTACTCGAGTACAAAAAATCTACTCGAGTACAAAAAATGTACTCGAGTACAACCAATGTACTCGTGTCCATTTTTAGATTTTTAAATTAAATAAGTTAAAATGTACTCTGGACTGAGTACCGAGTACATAAAAAGTACTTAAAGTACAAAATTTGAGTACAAGTACTCGAGTACCGCACAGCTCTGTGCAGCATAGCATGGTATCTATTAATTATTAGGGTTTAGACTGGACAGAACCACCTGGTTTCAAATTTTATCCATGAGTAAGTTTAAGCTTAAACTAGTTGGAAAATACAATAATGAAAACATTGTCATTATCTATCGTTATTATACAGAAAAGCTATAAATTACCTACCTTGTGGTTTTGAGTTCTCCAATAGGTGGCGGTGTGGGTGGCGGAACTGCGCAATCATTTATTCTTTTGCTAATATCATTATAGCGGCTATACCTTGTCTCGGTAAATCCTTGAGGATTATCATTTCTGCTCACGAATAGAGCATCACGGTGTGAATCTTCGTAACAACTTGAAGGCTGTTTCAACTCATTCACAGGTTCTCTCTGGTTTCTGTTATTCATCATAGATCCATTTACCGATGAGCCATAGTTGATTCGGGGAATCGCGGGAACGAATTTGTCGTAGGCAGTGTTGTCGTACGCTCTATATGGGCCACTTAAAACATAAACAAGTTTTTGTTTTAAGGAAAGTCAGTTTCATATACGTAGATGCGAATTGCGAAATACAAATATTCGCATTTCGCAACTCCTCAGCAAACAGATAGAGTCGAGTGACGTCTTCTGAACGTCGATTATTGGTCATTTTGGTAGAAATACGTCAAGTAGGTACCAAAATAAGACGAATCAAGGACGTCATTGTTATGACCATTAATGTACCAGACATTTTATTTACAAAATAAGGCGAATTAGGGACGTTATTTTTATGATCGTTAATGTACCAGAATTTCATATCCAAAATAAGACAAAGCAAGGACGTCATTACGTCATAACAATTGTTATGACCGTACATCATGAACGGTTCATGTTCCGCATATTACCTAAATAGGGCGAATCCAGGACGTCATTTGGTATTATAGAATAATCGCAAGGGCTACCTCAAATGTGCCTACCAGAAATTATACTTTAAAAGATTATTATTGTGCAGCAGGTTTAAGTAAGTATTTATTTATAATTAGCAACCTATAAACTTAATTACCTAGTGGGTAAAAAAACAACTTACTTGTCAGCATTTAAACTAATATTTAACTTTTTTGAAATATTGTGTACCCATACAATTATTACAATGACTGCAATTAATAAAATTCCACAAATGGCTCCCACAGTTCCAGTAACTATCCATAACTTGTCTTCACAAGTCTAAAATTATACATTTAAATTATTTTGTTCAAATTTATTAATTTTTATTTACTCCCATTGTAGCAGGATTAAAAACACAAATAATTAAACAATATTTTCCTCTAAACTAAGCTTAAAACTACTAATGTAGTTCATTAAACAAATATTTTATCTTATCATTGATTGATTGAATGCATATCTCTGAAAAAGGCTTTGAATAAAAATATGTAATAATCTCTTTATTACACACCTACATAATTGTATAAATATTTTACCTACTTATATCACATCAATTTTATCAGAATTATGTTCTATTTTTATAATGGAATAAAAAACACAAATAACATATGGTATGATACATGTTAATCCTACATAAACTATGTATGGTATAGGTGGAGTGGACCCAAATGGATGGAACCAATAGCCTCTTCTTGTTGCATCTCTTGTATGGTGGCTGGCAAATGCAGTTAACATTAGTAGGCCAGCCACTTTGAGCTTATTTATTTGGTATGCATATGAAATTGTGAGAAATAATATAGATAATAAAAAAGGATATGTTGAACAATGCAAAAACGGTCTTGATGAAAGATTTGTAGCATCCTAAAATAAATTAACAATAAGTAGTTTTAATTATTTTTGTACTTGTATTTCTACTACCTCCAAATAAATTGACTTGGCTTTTAAAAAATGATCTATATCAATAAAGCAAGCTATAAATGTGCATGCTGCCACCTCATTTATAGTGTCGACTGCAGAAACATTCTTAAAATTGTGCCGAACTAGAAACCAAGATACTCCTCCAATTATTCCATGTGTAGCATTGTCAAATATTGCTTGAAAGATGTGCAAATTGGTGTGCGCTACTAAATAGTCACCAAATACAGCTAATAATCCTATTAAACCCGTTAAATATGTGTTTAAACTAAATATTCGCACCATTCTTCAAAATATTGGGCATTTAGCTTATTGAAAAGCCCAGATACATACACCTTGTTAAAAAGCTATTGGGCTGGCTTAGGAGGTTGAAAAATTCGCACCATTGTTATTTACATTTTAGGCTGCAATCCTAGGGCTGCAATGATTGCAGTGCAATCTGCAGCACCATTGAGGTTATGTTCAGTCATAGAAAACCCAGTGTCAGTGTTGCCAGATGAAGTGCAGAAAGAATCGTGTTATTCGGCTACCGAAATATTTATAAACAGGAGTAGGGGCGAACTTGATAAAGGGCCGTATGCAGAAATGTTGATTTATTATTTATATCAACTGATTTGCGCATATCCACTGATTTAAGTTTGAACCAATTTGGCAACATTGCAAATTTTAAATGACAGTAGATTTGTAGTTATCTTCAGCACTGCCAGATTTGGGGATTATACCCCAAAATGGGGGATTTCATCTTGCTTTGGGGTAATGCTAATTTTGGGGTATTATGGGGTTTTTTCGGAAATTCCAGAAACTTTTTTTATGTTCATCTGGATTACCTATAGGTAATCCAGATGAACATAAAAAAGTTTCTGGAATTTCCGAAAAACTATAGTTAAATTTTAACAACACTACTTTAAACACTAAACTATAATTATTATAGTTTTATTCTTTGATTTTGTTACTAGACCATTATAGATCGCGGAGATAATAGCTGGCCATACACAGGCGTTATTTCGCGCGGTTTATCGTGGCGTGTTGGGATGTAGCGGTTAGTATGCACGAAAGAACGGCTTGGCAAAAAAAGCGTCATGTTCCATACACTTGATAAAGTATTCAAATGATTTAGCAAGTGATTGCCCGTGGTATATCAGTTTCAAATGAAAAATCGTATGTGAGTGGGCAAAAAGTGTCATTTATCGAGTCGTTTGAAACTGCATGTGATCATGTACAAATTTTCAAAGTGAAATTTTGCCAAGCAAAGGTAAACCGTGACGCGGAATGTGGCGTGTGGACACTCCCACAGAACATGTATGGCCAGCTAATCTTGAACTAATTCCGGACATTCTAGACATGCGCTTTTTAAAATTTATAGTGCGCATGACAAATATTAAAATGCTAATGCCTATATATATCCTTCGGCTTGCCCTAGCCGGCCCGCTTACGGCTGGAATACGGCCTGCCGCGGCATAAGCGATACATCTCACGGCTACTTACGCACGCGAGCTAACTATAAATAGCGATTGGTTGCAATACCTATTTAGTTGGAAGTGTGCGTCCGTAATGGCATAGCTGAACATTAATTGTTTGGAGTCCCCACCATAGATAATACACCCCATTATTATCTTTGGTCCCCACCTCCATTCTCATCTGCTCAGTAACGAATAATGGCTATACTCCCAGATAGCACAAAGATATACTATGGACGTCCCATGGACATCCGTTTAGAGTCCAGATGTCACAACTTTGGACATCCATAAGTCGTCCACCGGTGGACGTCTATAAGGTGTTTGAACCATTCCTCCAGCATCCAGGACCTGCTTTTTTGCTTACTTTAACTGTTTTTTGCGACTGTATTTTTATTGCGATGTTGCAGAAAATTTTCTACAACATGAATGCCTTTTGTCTGGCTCAGTAACAATCCCACTAGGAATATAAATATTCTAAAAGTTGTTAAAAGTTACAACATTCAATGTTGAACATTGCAGAAAATCCTTGTATTCGACTCAGGAACATTACATTTGCAATACTACAAGTGTTTAACATTTCATTGATAGCTTAAGTCCTTTATAGCACGCGCTTGCTTGAATGTCAGTGAGATTGATCATAACTGTTGTTATGCAGCCAACAATACGTTTTAACTTGCATTTCTGTAATAATAATTATGGAAGTAAAATGGACACTATATGGACGTCCATTAAAATCGTACAAAGGATGTAAATATATGGACGTACATAGTACATCCATTTTTAGTCCGTGGACCAATGTACTTAAAATGGATCTTAAACGGACGTCCATTGGACGAATGGTGCTATCTGGGCTAGCTATAGCTATAGGATATACCTATTCTATACCCGGTCCACACTGCGCTGCTACATGGAATAATCTTTTTATGATGACTGGGTTAACCAAAAAGCGGACATTTGATTACGCCAGGAATATTCCTGACATGTGCAGGAAATGGTGTTTTGCGGTCTTAATTAAGACCGTTACTTAAGTAACGGCAATTTCGAAAAACTGGTTACTTTAAAAGCAAATAAGTTTTAGTTATTTTTCACCATATTTGTTTATGTTAAGAAATTAACAAAAACGATTTTGTTTCATTATTTGTATATACCGCCTATACTGAATATCCCCTATTAAGTTTATCGATAAGCAATAATTTAATTTGTTAGTTTAATCCAAACATTACTTAAATAAAAAATACTTAAAATATGTATTTGTACTAAATATCATTTTAAATATCACCCACCAGTGTTGCCAGGTGTAAAAAGTGAAATTATCGACAAATCATCGACAAATTATTGACAAAATTATCGAATTTTCAGAAAATTGTCACAAAATTTGTATTGATAATGCTATAATAATAGTAATATAAATAATTATGGGTACTACTCGAGAAAACCAAACTCTCCGAACCGAATCGCGATGACACCGATCGACTTTGGAATCGCATGCGATTCGCATCATTCGAATCGAATGTTGTGTGGCAACGCCGCATGTGTAAGGTGTGTTTAACGTTTCTAATAAAGGTTATTAAAACGAAAAGAAGTAGTAAATAGCAAACTGTAGTAGTAATATTATTCATTATTGTTAATTGTGTCATATTTGTTGCATTCAAACAAAATGAAAGATTCTGGCATCCCAACCAAAGTTGGCAGAACTCTGTAAGCGGTGGAACCTTCGGCATCTTCACCACAGATAGCGCCACTAATTTCTCTTAAGCATATACTTACCACACATATACAGATCATTTTGGATTCAGGCTGTTTCCTTTTCGTGGGGTTAAAGTAGGAGCTAGCTACCTAAGCAGTTTTGCACATGCGTGGGGCCGTGTTGTCAGATGTAATTATATTCTAATATAATTTTCGTTATTATAAAGCTTATAAATTATGTTATATCGCAAAATTTATAAAAAATTATATTAATGATGTATTTAAGTATTAATAATAAAAATAAATATTATTTTTTTAATTTTATAAAAATGTTGTTTAGCATTAGAAATTTGGCTACGTCGCATTTTATTACCCAAGCGAGAAACTTATAACTTTACTTTTTTAAAACACTACATCACTAATGTAACCAATCCTATATATCGCCCTCAAATCCTAGATCCTTTTATCTATGCCTTAGATGGGTAGGTTTAAAAACTCTTACAAATATCCCAATTTTTGTATGCCTAAAGAATAAATAAACACAATTAAAGTCATATTATTATCCTCTCTATTTTGTGATTTTTCTGACAAAGTAATGATTTTATGCCACTTTTCGGATGTTTAAACTAGTTTTTTAATATTCTTTCAAAATAACCTAAATTCCTAAACTGACATTTGTATTTATTCATAACCAACAAACATTATTGATTTTTTAATCTCCCACTTTTGAACTGACCGTGCGCAAAAGGTAGAGAGTAGCCACCCTCCCCTTAAAAACGGTAACAAGGTCATCTATTGAATAGATTCTATTCAAAATATAGGCAATAAGACGAGCGTCTAGCCGTCACACCTAGAGGAGGAAAATATCAAAACGAAGTAAAACGAATATTTACGATTGAAGTCGAACTTTTAAAAGTACGCGGGAAAAAATAAATGATCATGTGCACTGCAGTGATGTTACCAACTATAAGGAAATACGAAGAATTTAAAAATTAAGTACAAAGTTACGTTTATAACCTTACCATCCAAGAATTCCCATTGAATATAATTGTATGATATTTTCTTAAATTATGCTATTTTACAAAATAATGCACAAGGTATTTAGTTAATGACATATTTACTTAAATAGAATACATTTTTACGTACAGATTTTAAAAACCGGGTTAATTAATCATTTTTTAAAATGCAATGTGAACTACGACTTTTCCACAAATTATATGTGCATAAATAATGCAGCATTATCTATATGTATAATAATACACAAAATATTGTTGACACAAGAAGGCATTTATTTGGAATTGTAACTGTTTCGTTTGATTCGGTTTATGTAAAAATTTAAAATAAGTTTATATACACATTGTTTTTGTTTTATTATACCTATCAAGTAGGTATTTATTGTAAGTAAGTAGGTATATTTTTTAAATTGGTAATTCAGTTTAGGTAAGAATCTACATAATAATTATAAATATGACAATTACTTTTAAGTTAGTTTAAGATAAAAAGATCTATAATTTTGAAAAAGGATCATGTTCTTTAATAAATAAATAATAATGTTTAAACGAATTTTTATTAAAGTATAGGTAGGTAAGTACAGGTAAAGAGTTTTATCTTATGTGTAAATAAATTTTTAATTATTTCAGTTAAATTAAAGAAAAATTAAATCATTTGGTTTTGCATCAAAAACTATAGTTATTATAATAATTATTGAACTAAACATAAAAAATAAATCATTTGGGTTTGCATCACATACTAATAATTATTGCACTAAACATAAAAAGAAAAATCAAATAAATTATTATTTAGCATCAGCATTATAAAATAAAACATTTGGTTTTGTATCACAAACTAATTATACCTACATAAAAGGAAAATCAAATAAATTATTATTTGGCATCAGCATTATGAAATAAACTTATTGAAATATTATTTTTTTCACTCTTCGATGGTTTTTTCAAACTTAATTTTTTTGTAGATTTTTTGTTTTTGGTTGAGATGAATTTCTTTTTAGGCTCATTCTCCTTTTCCGGCACCCTTTCTGAATCTTCACTTAACTGATTTGTATTTCCTAAAGCATTTTTTCGTTTTTTTCCTCTTTGGGGTTCAATATGTTTATTTGAAGGTTCTCTTTGACAAAAGTCAGTATTTATAAAAACATTGCTGCCATAAGATTTGCTAGATAAAACATGGGGCAGTGGCAACAAAGCCTTTTCCACGAACTTATTTTCTTCAACAGTTGTAACCATAGACATAATTTCATTAAATAGTCTTATTGTGTTAGATTTTGCTGCATCCACATTATTATTTAAGTCATGAGATTCATTCGACAAAGGATTTTTGAGGGACCTTAAAAACAGTAATTGTAATGTATAGTTTCAATCAAAAAATGTTTCACTTACTTCAATATAATATTTTCCTCCACTGTTCTGGGATCACAATCAATTACCATGTCACCAATATCTTCTCTTTCTTCAATTGTACTAAGTTGTCCTTTGAGAAACATCCCCAATAAATGAACATGTTTACACATATTCCACGAAATTGAAGAGTCTGGACAAGAACAACGATAAGAATGGATACAAATAGCACATTGGGTACATTTTATGTTGCAGTTGCATATAAAATTAGTAGTAGATGGTTTTATTTGGTATATGTCTGCACCAGAAGCAGATGATACAGTCCATGTTCCATTATCTTCCATTATTATGCATTGATCTTTGACTTCAGTTGCTCTTTTATGTCTTTTTCGTAATTCAGAGATTTTTTTTGTCAATTTTCCTAAAAATTGCACAATATATACCCACATTAATACATAAAATCAACTCACCTCTGTTTAAAGTTATAAGCCTGTCGAATAACTTATCGCGAATAAAATTTAGAATAGCATGCACAGCTTTATCCAGTCTTTTTACTTTTCTTCCTTCAAGATAAATATATTTTAACACTTTATGCATACTTTCTAGGTGCATATTGGTGTTTATACCTGAATATAATCTGTAGCAGTATGCCCATGACATCTTATTAGCACAATAGTAATTTTCAAAGTATTTTCCAAATTCGTATGTGTTTGGATTCCTTAGCATGGTTTTAACAGCTTTAAATAATAATTTTTCAAAGGCAACTTGGTCTGTTTCTTCCAGTAAAGTTCTCACCACCTTGTATATTTCAACTCTATCTTCTAAATTAGCAATTTTCTCATTAATATTTTTCCTCCAAGCCTTGTCCACATGCCAAGAGCAAAAAATTCTAGTTTCAACTGGGCCCATTGATAATTGCCAAGCATTATAGAAAGATTGCGCTAAATCCGACATAAAAACTTTTGTGTGCAAGGGGTGTTCCAAAGCATGCGCAATAGCATCAAACACGATTTTGAATAATGTTTCATCGGTTCTATTGCTAAATATGAATGTGCATGGAAATCCTTGTCTTAAGTCATCAAGAACTAGTAAAGTACTTAATTGAAAGTCATAGGGGTTCATTCCGTGGGTACTATCAATACAAATGCAATCACCTCCATACATCTGGAGCATTTCAATCTGAGACACGTTCATAATCATCAACAGAAAATCATCTTTTTGCAGAGTAGGAAAGTTGTCATCAAAAACTCCTTGTTTCTTATACAATCTGACTATAGAATCTCCACTATGCTCCTGGGTTTCTTTCACCCATGCATCAACACTAGTATAATCATTTGCGTCACGTATGGCATCATTATTAAGATTGTACATGCTTTCTATGTTAAGTAAATCTTTTCTTGTCAATAAGTGTAGCCTTGAGATATCATAATTAGAAATAGAGTTCCTTATTTTATTTAAAATTTCTTTAAAAGGAATTTTTTTAGCAATTTCTTGAGCAATTTGTTGTCGCTCCAGTTTAGATAAGGTTAGTCGGCCTATTTCCAGTTTGTGCCCAACATGACTATTGCAATACTGAACAGAGACTTTTTCGGTATTTTTGCAAACTGTTGCTATAATTTTGGCAGGGCAGTGTCCATTAATTTTATTGGTTCCCATGATTTTGAGGGCGCGTATATTTTTTCCCTCTGGTTTATAAAATCCATCACGATGGCAGCGATAGAAATATTGTATTTTATACTGGGATTCTTTTACTCTGTGCTTTATGTGTTTTGAACAGGCTTCTGTTTCTAATTCATCTTTCCACTTCTCAAAATCTGCCACCGTTAAGAAACTAGTTAATCTCGTAGAAATATTTATTTCATGAACAATGTTGTAATGACTGACAATTATAACTTTGGGTCCACTAAAAGTACACATTGGACAATTGTAAATTATTACTTCTTTGGGCTGAGAACGGTGAACTTGTTCTATATGTCGAACTAGATTGAATTTTTTGTTAAACTCCTTATTACAATGGCAGCAAGTAAATCTACCCTGATTTTGATTTTCTTGAGCACTATGAATAAATTTAAAATGTCTTAATAAATTAAACTTTTTAGTAAAAGTCTTTGCACACATATCACATAAAAAACTTTCTGGAGGCATTATTTCGACATGTTTTTACCTGACCTAACCTTTATAATCTGTGCCTGACCTACGACAATTTATGACGTTTTACTAAAACGGTTTTAGTGTACAGGATCCTGCTAGAATCTTTTACTGTTGAGAAATACGCGAATGGCTCCATAGAGGGCAGCATCGTTTTAATCAGATTTCCTCCTCTAGGTGTGACGGCTAGACGCTCGTGGCAATAAGCGGTATATGTGTGGTAAGTATATGCTCTTAAGGGAAATGTAATTTCTGTTAAGGGAAATAGCATTTCTGTTAAGGGAAATAGCATTTCCGTTAAGGGAAATAACATTTTCGTTAAGGGAATTGTAATTTCCCTTAACGGAAATAGAAGTTTATTTTTGTTTAGTTAAAAATAAAAGTAATTCGAGCTATTTTTTGTACACATGATCATTAAGTCTCATTTTAATTTGATGTTATTTTCTGATTCTCTAAATATTGTTAGACTCTATATATTGCGGTTCTAAATTTTCAACATTTCAATCAGTATTTAAAATTAAAATGTTTTTAATTTTTATGTCATTTAGGAAAGTATAAAATTATATCTTTAAGGACAAATGCATTTATATTCGTAATAGTAATTTTATTTCGTTTTATTTTAATACTTAGCCTGGTCTAACATAAATAAAATGTAACATTGTATCCAAGTCAGAAGCTACTTTAATAAAATTGAATTAAAATAAAATCCTTTTAATGTGTCATAAAATTGCTCCAAAAAACTAAAACAGTAAAAATAATTTGCATTAAAATTATAATTAGTAAATTTAATAAAATTTCTGTTAACGAAAATTGCTTTCACGTTAAGGACAATATTTAAAAATCCAATGGAAATAAATACAACAAATGCATTATTTTTACTATTTGTAAAGAAAATATGCATTCAATTTTGAAATTATAATAAAAATGTAATTTCCCTTAAGGAAAATACATATAATTTCAATTATCTAATGTCTCATAGAAATCAAGTCGAATTAAAATGAGACTTGATAGCCATGTGTAATAAAAACTAAAACGGCTTGCCATACTTTCCACCCTTTTTCTTAGGTGTTACGTAAAAAAAAATAAAAAACGCTCGTCCACATGTATTTTTAATTTTAGGGGGACAATTTATTTTTATATTTTCAACACACCAAGCCCTAAATGGTGGTAATGGTTACCCCTACATTATTAAAAGAAAAGAAAAGATGGGTCAATTGATACCTTATTTTGAAAGCCTGTCAAAACCCTACATTTTGGTGAATTAGTTTTTAAAGTTTCCTTGCGGGATATTTAAGAAAAACTTTATTTTTATTTTAAATATAAATTTTGACACAAGCAGTTGTTTTGAGTGCCATTTTGCCAATTTTTATTTTATTGCCATAAATTTAAACACAATAAAGTAGATAAAAGAAGCTAGAAAATTTCGTCAATTTTATTATTTTGCCAAAACCGCGATTTTATTTAGTTAAAAGTAGTATTTTTATGGGACTTACTTTATGAATAGATGTAATTTATATTTTTAGTTAAATTCGGACTTAACAATGATACTTGGTTAAAGTACCCATTTAATTAAAAATTTATATATACGAATTAGAATAAAGGCTAATTGAACAAAATCATAGTCATTTTTGGAATAAGCGCAGCCAAATTACCCTAGAAAAGTTGTTGGCTGTTGTTCATTTGTTGACCAGTGTTATTATTCTAATGTTAAGTTTAATCATCGCATGTTTAGGGTAATTAATATTGCAAATGCATTTAATGCAAGCGCACGAGATTTTATTACCAAAATAAATCAAACCAGTAAAAAATTAATCCATTTTATTTTATAACGTGCACAACTTTGAAGAAAATAAAATCGATATCCTTTAATATTTTTTATTTTATTTTAAAATTCTGTTTTCTGCAAGAAAAGTTTTAATTTGTATTTTTTTAATATTTAATTTTTTCATTAAAATAAAATCAACGGATTTGAAATTAAATATATAAATTTAAAAACTTGTTCTATTGTCTTAATTTTTTTTTTGAATATAGATAAAATGATTATTTTACTAAAATAAAAACTGTTAATTTTGTACAACTATATTTGCAATACATTATTACACATACATAAAAAAACAAAACACACAAAACCCATGATATAAGAAAATCATTTTCCATAAAAAAAATATAGAACACTGGATAGGCACATACATAACCATATGTATATACACAATAATTAGTAAAAACTATATACTAAACAATAATTATCATAAATTTAATAAATTGTCATAAACAAAAAATGAAACAATATAATATATAATATACATAATAATAAATACAAATTTATCAATTCATGCAGATTGTTCAATAAAAAGTAATTTTGAGTTGAAATTGTTTCATTTTATATTTAAAGCAATACAAAACATCAGTAAGTTTTGCTCTAATGATGTAGCTAGCAATATTATTTAGTAGATATATAAAATAATTTTCTGCGGTTTTGTATTGCTACAAATGTCTAAAATATAATAAAAGAGAACTTGAACTGTACCTTGCACCTGACTTTCCATTTGAAAGTAGGCACCCAGCTCCTCCTGGTCAGCTGTTGTGAACACAAGGGACCTACCTTTTTTGATGAATGTTGTCATATATTATACCTTTATTAATTGCACTTCCCACTGATAATAATCTGTTTATATTGAGCATGCATTATTCCAATATTTTATCAGTAAGAAGCTGTAAACCCCAAATAAAAGCTAAAGTTTGTATGAATAAATAAAAAATATTTATTTTTCACATAAAAAAATTACAAGATTATCCCTTTAACAGGGGGGTCACCTGTGTTCACTACACTATCACAGCTTCTCAATAGTTCAATTCCACTTAAGTTCTCATTGCTTAATAAATATTTAAAACTATTTACATAACTACCAATCATTTAATCTGTGGATCAACTAAATTTGTACCTGGTCAAAATTTATAGCGGCAATAAAAAAATATCTCTCAATATTCTTAATGGAAACAATTTGATGATTTAATTATAATTAACAAGGTAAAAAACAAAATGCGGATTTAATTTCGATCAAACCTGTCAAATGAGCGCATGTATGTATAGATTAAATTTACTCAGCTGGTTTTTCAGCTTCTGGTGCTGGATCTCTTTCAGCAGTCTCAGGTTCAGCAGGGGGAGCGGATTGTAAATCTAGGTTTCCTGCTGGGGCCATATTATCCTCTATAGGTTGACACTCGTCGTGCAAAGGCGTGCTGTTGCCCCCTTTGCCTTCTTCATTTGTTTCTTTATTTGCTTCTCCTCCATCTTCAGGCATCTCAGGTGCATCACTTTTTTCACCACCCTCATCTACTGTGGGTGTTGTGTTGCCCCAGCGACTCCTTCTTTCATTGTTTTCGTCGCTTTTACTACCGCCTCTTTCTCTGCGCCTCTCTTCGAACGGCGGGCCGCCCCCCATGGGGGGTCCGCCGCGGTGGCGCATATGCGGCGGTTCGTCAAACATTCCCGGAGGCGGCGGTCCTCTAGGACCCGGACCACCCCGGAAGAATTCTGGCGGACCGTCGAAACGCGGTCCAAAGCCTGGAGGCCCGTCAAATCTAGGACCTAGATACAAAAAATAAAACCCTATTATTTTACCACTCCTATAATTATTGTTACAAAACATGGTCTTTGTTTTGAACGATTAAATCCAAAAGTGTAATAATCAATTGGTTTCTTCAATAAAACAAGACAAATAATTAAAAAATCAGGAATACTCAATACACAGTAATTGAATAACATTTAAAACACAGATTTCCTTAAGAATATACGTCCCTGTTCACTTTATTAGACTCGCCTAAAATTTTAGCAAATAAAAAAAATCGTCTCGAAAGTGTTTGACAGGATTAAGGGTCTAAAGGCCCCCACAGACTTCGCCCAATGATTGAAATTTTGATGTACTGGGCGACAAAGATTTGGGGGAAATTAGAATTTGACCTTGTTGAGTACGGTCCTGTTTATCTCCTAACCCTGCTACATAAGTATAAATGAAACATTAAACACTAGTTAAACTCAAGGTTAAACCATTTTATTACAGTTTACAACTGTCAGTCATTATTTCATAGCCAAATGGCAGGTAGCTGCTAGTGAAATTATTAGTATAATACTCAATTGAGAATAGTGAAAGAACAAGCACAGATAAAATAAAATAAATATATATAACTGCTTGGTTACAACAAAAAGATCTGGTGACAGTGTTTGAAATATGAAATTATTTTAATTGCCAAAGAGTTTAAATTTATCAAAAAATTAAAATGTTCCTTGAAGCTCGAAGCAACAATAGATTTAGTTAAGAAACTTTTTGTTTTAGATTATATATTGATGAACTTATTGGACACTTTGCTTCTTTCTGTGCCTTGTCACTGACAATACATGCAGGCTATTTCATTTGTTGAATATATCAGTTCCTGGAAATGTGTTTTCAAAATTGGTCGAACCCAGATAATAATACCTTGAATAATACTTTATTTGTCCCAAAAAACTAGTTTACAGTTTACAGAGACATATATTAGAGTAATAATTAAGACGAGTTACATACAGATTACATGCATTTAAAAAGTAACTTAACTACATGACTACATTAAATATATATCTATATATGATATAATAAAATTTAAAGAAACACAGGCAGAGTCTGTAACAGTTCTTCGATTTTTCCGTCCAATTTCTTTCATACCGTATTTTCATTTAAAATATATACACTCGAGTAAACCCGAGTAAACCTGAACGCCCCCTCCCAGATGCCCCTCCCCAGATGCATTGCAAGCGGGTTGCCGTAGGCGACGATTTAGTTATGTTTTGTATTTACCAGTGTGTATTTCGAGCATTTTAACATAAATTAGTTTCTGTTATTTCAAATTATAAGTTATAATGTCCTACACATTGCATTTCTCTACGTCAAACAAGAGACCTATTTTCAGTTAAGTATCCGGATCGTTCTATTCCGTCAATTAGAACAATAACAAATGTTATCCAAAGGTTTAAAACAAATGGATTTAATTAATTTATTTACATTTATTTTAATTTGATTACTTTATTTTAGCTTTTAAAGAGAATTTTTTTATGTTTAAACGTTTTTTTTTATAAGAAAACAGTTTTATTTAAATGCAAAATAAATAATGAGTTTACCCCTTTAATTAATAATTTACTGTTAAAAAGTGATTTTGTTACATTTTAAGTATATGAATCATTCTAAAAGTAAATTAACTTAATAATGCGTAATTCGTATTAATAATTCAGAGCAAACTTCGACTATCACCCAACGCCGGTGAAGGGTCTACTGCTGAATTACGAAAACCGTCTCTCGGCGTCTCCTACTCTTAAAAACCGAATGCCTGTCTACATGTAAAATAAAAGTACGGTATACATGATGCCGGAAATTTACCGTAAATCGAACGAGTGGAGATTTTTTGACCAAATTTTATGAAAAGTAAGTTTGGAACGATAGTTCGACCCTCAACCCTGTTTTTGAGTTACAATTTTGTTTGGATTTTTTCAACAGCTAAACTTTGAGTTGATTCTAATAAATATATTATAAAATGTGTAACTCACCTCTAGGTCTCATATGTGGGCCCCCTCTTGGTCCGAATCTGGGACCTCTAGGTCCAAATTCGCCCCTCATCATGGGCCCTCTCGGCCCGAAATCAGGACCGCCTCTCATCATCCCTCTGGGTCCTCTAGGTCCGAAATCTTCGCCGCGATAGAAATCCGGACCTGGTGGACCTCGCATCCTGGGGTGATCAAAGTCGTCCCTGAAGTCTCTGCGGTCGCGGCCCCTGAAATCGTCGGGATGCATTCGGTGCATGTGGGGGGGGCCATCCATTAAATGGGGCGGACCGTTTAGAAGATGAGGCGGCACGTCCATAATATGTGGAGGGCCATCCATCATTAGGGGTGGACCGTCCATCATGTCCGGCGGTCCATCCATCATGTCTGGACCCATCATCGGCGGACAGTTCAAGCGAGGGTTGAAGTCCATGGGGAAATCTTCGCGCATCGGCCCTCTAGGATGCCTAAACGAAGGGCAATAATGACAATAGGATACAAAGGCAAACCAATACTACCAAAAATGCATTTATATTTTTGTATGTATACAGGGCAAAAATTAAATATCATGTTAACTCGAATTTTAAGCATAAAACAAGGATCGTTAGCAAGATAATTTAATTTATTAAAAAAAAAAAAAGGTTTAGTGGCCTGCTAGGTCTCCTGAAATAAATTCGTTTGAGTTAATATCTGTGTGGTGACACTAGCCAGTGCCCGACGCTAGTTTCGGACGAGCCAAAGATTTGGCTAGTTTTTAACCGAAATCAGCATTTTTGTTAGCGATATATTATTCAATGTTTAAAAAGACCTCCATCTATATTGCACGCTTGGCAACGCAAAACAAGTAAACTGTTAAATTGTGCAAAGTTGACTTTGTCCTCAATCTGTTGTACATAGATTTTTTTCCTTTAATGTTCAATGGCGTTAATTTGCTCAGCATAAACTAATTGTTTAACACTGTAAATTACTAAACCACTGTAAACCCTGAACACTATGTTTATACGAACCGCGTCACTTAATTAGTTAAATATTGAAGTACAGTACATACAACTCTTCCAAGTTTGGGCTGATGTCGAGGCAGATAGGTGGCATGTTTGGCGAGTTTTGCCTCATATCCAATATTTTTGGTTTGGTTTTTCAAGAAAAATGCCTTCTAATATTTTCTTCGGGTACTTAATAATAAATTTTGGTTTTTCTGATTCCGAAGGGGGGGACCGTACCCGAAAACCCCCCCGTAAATCCGCCACTGGTCATGATATGATACCGCCGGATCATGCCGCTTGAATTCTATAACGGGGTCCTCACTTAATGCGTCTAATGCATATATGTATATGCAAAAATCGGACCCCATAAGATGCCGTGCATGCTGCAGGATATACGGACCCCGCTTTGTACTCTGCAAGCGAGTATATATACTCAAAATTAGCGTCAATATGGTAAAGAGTATACTCTTTACCATATTGACGCTAATTTTGAATTGAGCAAGGCCGTATCAAATAAGACCTTTTAAGTACAAGGGAAGCACCGGTCCTCACAACGCTCGTAGGACGGTCGGACCTCACAACTAACCTCACAACTAACCTTTAACCATTATTTGTATCAAAGTCACATGGTGGGCCTTTTGGGTGTGGAGCATAGTACACTAGGGTGTCCATTATTTCCCAAGTTGATTTTTTTACTTGGATATTATCTAAATTATTTGTTTACAGTCTATAAACAATGTAGAATTTAATGAAATAAGAAAAAATTCATAACTCTTGCAGGAACACCTCATAATTTGGCAATTATTGGGCAGAGATGTTTTGGCAAAGCAACACATAACGCAATGCTTTCAAGATAATAATGAATATTTTGTCGTGCATTATAATTGCTTTTTAATGTGAAGTAATATCAAAAGTTAAAAAAATCAACTAAACAAATTAATGCAAAAAATTGTACGTGGGAAGGCGCACGGGGTTAGTGATGGGTCGTGATTTTGATAACGTGATTTTGGAACGTTATTTTTAAATCACGTTCCGGAACGTTCCTAAATATATCGGAACGATGTGACAGCGGGTCGAACTGCATATAAAAAGAGAATCCGAACATCGAATGAGTGAACGGAGAGAGTGGGAACGACGTGAAACATGGAACAGAACGAACGTCACTAACGTCGGAACTGTTTAAAGGCGGAGTTACCTCGTTTCGTTTCTTGTTCGACTTTCGCGGCGCGCCGACTTGAGCTGAACTTTATCGGTGCATATAACCAATATAACGAGGCGGGTGGAATCGTTCCGCTTGAACGGTGCATAAAAAATGAAGTTTGTTAGGTGGGGTAGATAGAATCCAATATACCTAATATTGTACAATTATTAAACTATAAGAATAGAGAATCTTTATTAGAGATATACAAAACATTCAAGGAATCAACAGGTTTTTGTGTATTAAAGGGGTCCCTAGACGTTTAAAAAATATTACTGCACAAAAAATTGATTATTGTCCCTAGTCAATCAGACAATATAAATAAATTAGGCATTATTGTCAACACACTAATAACTAAATTGCTTAATACAACATATTGTGCAATAATATTGATAGTGTACGGACCTCCTTAAACATTATAGAGTAAAGCAAAAGTTAATTTTGGTATTAAATTTGTTATGGTGCGGTCACCAGAACTAAGAGGCGCGCCAGACAAAATGCAGCCCAGCAACGTCGTGTCGTGGATTCCACTCGCTTGTATTGTGAAATCATTTACCCTACGTTCCGAAATCACGTGATTTTGGTACGTGAATTTTTAGGAACGGAACGGTTTGGTACGTTCCGGATTGGGAACCGTTTTTTCCATCACTACACGGGGTGCCCACAGTACTCAGAGCCTGTTTGAAACAAAATACCAGACAACCTATCACATTAATTTCAAAATCGGCAATGTAATATAACTGACAATACTTTGACAGGAAGGTACTGAAAGTATTCGTTATTTATTCGAATCGAAGTGCGACTGGTAGCTATATTTAGGATGCTGGGGTGTTTTGTACACCCCGCGTGCCTGCTTAAGGGTAAGACACCCTGTAGAGTGGCAAAACCGTATATTGTTCTAAATTAAGTTTTAATTATCCAGTCACATCTATTTAACATCTATTAACAGTTTTGTTTTTGGTTCACCTTGACATATTTATTTTTGTGGAAAATATGGATTTTTTAAAAAAACATTGTAATTTCCAATATTTTTTCTGTATGAAGAACTAATGTTGATATGGTCCATCCATAGCTTATGGGGGATGACAGTGACAGTTTTGTTGAATCATCCAATAATTGGAAATGTCATATAAGGATTTCAAAAGCTAGCTTAGCTATCATATTGTTTTTTGTAAATTAATGTGTCACTTTTGCGGTGTCTTCTTACTTTAAAAATGGATATGTTGCCAGAGACATTGCTTTAATCCAGGATGGACGGTTATATTAGGTGGCAAGTGTTTTAAACGCCACAAGAAATAAAGTACAAAGGGCTGTAAATCGGTTTAATTAGCATGGTGAGTACAGTAGAAGGAGTGAGTCAATGTGGTAGGAAGAGGTGTATGAATGAACGAGATGATCGCTTTATTTGACTTAAGGTTTTATGTGACTGAAGAGTAACTTCAATGGAGATAAATAACAGAATGGAGGACGTACGACAGGTCCAAGTAAGCGAGAGAACAATAAGAAGAAGGTTATCTGACATTGGATTACACGCAAGAAGATCTGCAACCGCACCCGAGTTGCGAAGAAACCACAGGGTTGAACGCCTTAGATTTGCTAGGGAACATCAAAATTGGAGCATTGATGAGTGGAAAAATATCCTATTTACCGACGAATCTAGGTTTTGTTTAAAATCACCAGACGGTCGTCAAAGAATCTTTAGGAGAACAGGAGAGCGTTTTGAGCAAAACCATTTTTCGCCTATCGCGGAGGCTCCGTTATGGTGTGTAATCCAATGTTCTCTCTCTTCCTTGGACCTGTTCTATGTCCTCCAATCTGTTTTGTACTTCCACAGAAGTTACTCTTCGGTCACGTAAAACATTAAGTCGAATAAAGCGATCATCTCGTTTATTTGTACACCTCTTCCTACTCTTACAGTACAGTACTCGCCATGTTGATTAAACCGATTTAAGGCCCTTTGTACTTTACTTCTTGTGACGTTTCAAACACTTCCCACGTAATACTGTGACCTTCCATTGTGGATTAAGGCAATGGCTCTGGCAACATCAGTTGGAGACATATCCATTTTTAAAAGTAAGAAGACACCTCAAAAGTAACACACTAATTTACAAAATCAATTTGATAGATTTTAAAAGCCGTATATGACATGTCCAAGTATTGGATGATCCAACAATCACTGTCATCCTCCATAGGCTATGGATGAACCATAGCAACCTTAGTTCTTCGTACAGAAAAAATGTTGGAAATTGCAATGTTTTTTTTTTAATCCATATTTTCCACAAAAATAAATATATCGAGGAGAACCAAAAACAAAACTGTTAAGAATAGATGTGACTTGATAATGGGGTAGTTAAATTTTTTCTGACCTATACTTTTTATGGTTTTATTCAAGGCGTTTTGTAATATTAAACATTTCTGTGAAATCAGAATTTTAATTGAGTTTACCGTTTTCGAGATATTTACAAAAAATATAAATTTTTATGACGTCACAAACCCCGCCATGTGACCAACATTCTAAGATTTCTATTGGTTGAAAATTACCCTGTTGTCAAGTTGTCTTGTTAATGATTTCATTCGGTTATGTCAGAAAATACCCGAAGAGGTTATGTACAAATACTGTCACTGTCAGTTGAGTGAAAGAAGAAGAGGAGGTTAAAGAAAATTCTGAAATTAAAAGTTTTATTGATAGGTTTACACATTGAAACACCGTGTGAAACCTAATAAAATGTAATAAATAGGTACCTAATAACTGTCTAAAGCAGAGTTTAATATATTTCATAGAAAAGTGGCAAAATAAAGCTGAAAATGAATGAAATAAATTTACAAAAAATAACAGTAAATGTTAACAATGGTATTTATGATATTTGTGTATAGTTTTTATAAAACTTGCATCCCTGATGATGAGCATCAAAACCTTTTGTAAGATTTAAAAAATGTATGACAAACTTTTGGACTGTTGGAAGATACTATGCTCTAGAGTACATTTTTGTACTTTTCAAAAATTCTGGTTTAAATATTGCTGCAATAACGTACATAGTAGGTAAAGATAGTGCAGGGTCTACAAATAGACATTTTGATTAAAATTATTCAAACAGATGGTCACCAAATTCATTAAGTACCTATCTTCCTTATTACGAGGTATCATATTACTGTTTGATATTTTAGAGTCCAAGATATATCTAAAAGAATATAAAGAACTAGGCATTATACTAATGAAATGCATTTACGACAAAATATGAATATAATTATAGGTACTTACTTTATTTGTTTAAAAGCTCCAATGTTCAATGTAACCAACCATTCCACAAGATTCCTCTGCTTTGGAGTCAGTTATTAATAAATCACTTATCTAATATCAATTACAAATAACATAACAATAACATTGATTTTCAATAATCTAAATTTAAAAAAAAACAACCCGAAAAAAAGAAACGTCAAAAAATCAATTCTTCTTCTTCTCCTCAACTAAAATTTTAGATCAAGTAGTTTTAAAACTAAAATATTATAACGTGCCGCCATCTATCGTAAGAATCTTAAACTAAACACCATAGAAAAAGCTGGCAACGTTGTCAATAGCCTAGTGACGTAATTAGGAGACTTTTTTTTGTAAATATCTCGAAAACGGTAAACTCAATTGAAATTCCGATTTCACAGAAATGTTTAAAATTACAAAACGCCTTGAATAAAACCATAAAAAGTATAGGTCAGAAAAAATTTAACTACCCCATTATAACTTAATTTAGAACAATATACTCTTCTGCCACTCTACAGAGAGTCTTAAACTTATGGTAAAAACATATTTGTTTAAACCTGTATATTATAAACGTATGTCTATTTTTTAGTAATTTTTTAAAACGAGAGCGATTATCCTAATAAAATATAATAAATATTTGCGATTGAAATTCAACGAAAATTTGTGTGGATCGATTATTTTGCCTGTGAGTGTAGTCTAGTATAAAGTTTATTAATTCAACAGACACTTATTTTAAACCCTGACCCCTAATATTATTTAAATCAGTATTTCGCAAACTGGGGGGCGCGTGTTACGGACGCCGACCCTGCATCCAGTACAGCGACCTGATACTCTTAAAGGAAATACCTACATATCAAATACTTAATAATAAATAGTAAAATAAAATCATGTTACATCCGTTTAGATATATAAATCCATGTTGTTCACTTTTCGATTATTCCACTAAATAAGCAACTTGTGCTTTTCCTGTCTTTATAAAATCAATTTTTGTAATTAGTGTTGATTAGATCGTCAAAGCAATAAGTTGTTAATCTTTTTTCAATAAATATTTGGTGTTCATAAAAACTTGTGTTTTTATCCAACATCTTTAACTCGCGCTCCCTTGGAGGAAAAAAATTAGATTTTAGGGTGTAGGGTGGCCTAAGCTAGAAACAGTATAAAAAGAGATAGTTTTTACCTGTCAACAGGTCCCCTGGGCGGTCCATACTCAGCTGGTGGTGCAAACTCTGAGGGCGGTCCAAAATCGTTAGGAGGCCCAAATTCTCCAATAGGAGGTCCTCTAAAACTGTCTGGAGGTCCGCCAGGCATAAAAATATCGCCTTCAGGAGGCCCGTCCAACGGAAACTTTCTATTGCTCGATTCGGAATTATTTCTCTCCCTTTCCCTTCTATCTCCTCCGCCACCGCCTCCTCCTCCAGCCATGCCGGCCATCTCTTGCAGACGATCGTTGAGCGTTTTTTCTCGATCGCGGCGGTCCGTGTCGTTCGGTGGCGGAGGTCTTTTGGCATCGCGGATGCCGCTGTCGCTGTTGTCGCGGTCTCCCCACCGGTTTGGCCTGTCCCGTGGCCTGTCGTCTCTGCGGTCTCCGCCGCGTCTATTGTCTCCTCGGCCTCCGCGACCGCGACTAGTGTCGCGCGAATCCCTCCTGTCGCGATCTCTGTCCCTGCTGCGCCTGTCTCTATCTCCCCTATAAAATTAATTTAATTGAAGGCAAATTATGTTTTCAAGGTGATAATTAAGGCAAAAAGTCATATAAATTGGTTTCTTGTACAACCTGGTTACAACATGGGAAGGGGAGCCAGAATGGTTAAAACTTTTGCATTGGGATGAAAAGTTAAAATAAAGCTAAAAAATTGTTGACATTAAAAAAAACATTTTGTAAATTTGGCTGAAAATTCTGGTTACAAGGCCACAAGCAAAAATTAGTTTTATCTTCAAGCGTTCTATAATTAAAATTGTATTATCGTCAACAGCACATGTACTTATTCATCTTTATTCATATTTTATTATAATATTTCTTGTCTTGTTTTGTTATATTTTTTTACTTTACATTCTGGCGCCCTTGAGGAAAATTTTTATTGTGTCCCTTTAAAATTAGAGATTTTTTTGTAGATAATTGAAGGGGTCCGGCAATAAGGGACCTATGCCTCATTGAAAAAATATTAAGTAAACACGAGAAATAAAAAGAAAAGAATTTTTAAACTTTTATATCCTTTAATAAAATTTAAGTATTAAGTATTAAAACTAATCACAATATCAAAATAACAAATTTTAGGGTGGAATCATTATCTTTAAACTTTGCTTGCTTAATATTTTTCCAATGAGGCTTAGGTCCCTTATTGCCCCGACCTCTTCAATTGTTCTTTACACTCACAAGACATGTTAATTTTACCGGGGATTAGCCAATCTAAACGAATATAAGCGCATCACGAGGGTCGTACGATTCGGGTTTTGTCCTTTGAGCCTGTCACTTGCTCTATGGAAACAGTTTGAAAAATAAGTGACTTGTGACCCTGGAGGGACAAAATCGGAATACCAGCACAAAAATAAGCTGGTAAATATCAAATATAGAAAATCTACATCAGATTGAATAAGTTACAAGAAATTCCCACAACGCGTGGTCCGTTGCAACAGATGGTTAAAATATATGTGGAAATAAGTCTGCACACAGCCATCGGCCTTGTGATGCATGGTTGAAATAAAAAAGTTATATGGATGAAATAAAATGAAAATACTGATTGAACTCCTGATATATTTGAAGAAAAAATAGAATTATTGATGAAAGAAGAAATTTATTTGGATGTTTGAAAAAGGTATAGTGTGATAATTATTAATAATATATATGGGAAATGTATGGGAATAAATGAATAAATCAAGAACAAATACAAAAAGCAAGAATTATAGTAAAAATACGCATAGACGATGCAAGAAATTTAAATTTATGAGGCAGAAAACAGATTATATTGAAATAAACCATAAACATTAAGAACATAGATAAATGACTCAAGGGATGAGTTGAACTCAGATTCTCTTGATTGAGACCCCTGAGTATTTTATTTTTTTTTAACTTAATAAGCTGGTGAAATAGATTTTAATTAAGATAAAGGGCATTACCCATGAACACAGTGCTTCTGCCCTAGGGCGTGGCCCATGCTCGCCCCTCCCCAAAAGCCGGCACTGCATTCATGCAAACATATTATTATATAAAATAACTTGACACGCAGACTATTTTGTCAAAATCATTAATTTTAAATATCGTAACTTACCGATTATGATCTCTGTCTCTGCTTCTCGATCTTCTTCTGCCCCTATCGTCTCTTCCATCTCGTTTATCGCCATCTCGATCTTCTCTGCTAAACTGATTTAAGGACGCTTGCAGTTGTTCGCTTAAAGGCATAGAAGGCTTATCGGATTTATCGGCATCTTCCATCTCGACATCCATGTTATCGTCATGTGGCATACTCATAGGAGGTTGGGGCACCATGGCAAAAGGTTGCGCCATATTCATTAAGGTGTCGCTAAGCTTTAGGTTCCCATCCTGTAAAGTAAAGAATGTGTTAGTAAAGTAATTTGATGTACCATCGGTATAATTAATAATTTTAGATAAATAACACAGTACAACAAAATTTTCCCTCCCATAAAAAATTTCTACAGATTTGGAAAATACATCACGTCATTTTTTTTTAGTGCGATCCAATATAATGTTATCCTCGGTATTCGGCATACAACACCTACGATAACAGCTAGACTGTATGGTTTAAAAAACGGATTTTTCGTTTTTTGAACTGCTACAATAACAAGTGTTTTCTCTTAATAATTAACATTTATATCTCAGAGAGGGGGAGGATATCAATGCTTCTAAAACTAGAACCCATACGTTCAGTGTACTAATAAACATTTTTACTGATACATAAAATTGGATTTCTTATTATTTGTCATATTCAACGTAGGAAAATCATATATTGAATATTGTAATTAAAATTGTGAATTTAGCTACAGATACTAAAAAACTTATTGTCACTTTTTTGTAGAGATGGGAATCGGAAAGTTTCCATTTTAAGGAAATTTTCCAATTGGGAATTTATTTTCATTTTGAAAGTTTTTTAAGCTAATGGAAACATTCCTTGGAAACTTTCCTTGTTTTTTTCATTTAAATGCCAAATTGACATTGTCAATTGTTTAACCGCTGATTTTCGTTAAGGCCATGATACAAGGCCAAGAAACTTTGAATACGAATTTAATGTGTGTTAATTTAAAGCAGAAGAAGAAGTATATAATATAATGTAAGTTATGTTACATAACCTCAATGAAGCCGGATTATTTAGCACCATCACAAAAAACTTTTTTAAAAAAAGGTAAACAAAATAAAAACAATAAACAAAGTTAAAATCATTCTTACATTTTTGTTGTTTATTTATAGGCATAGGCTATGCCGCATAGCACAATGCCAAGAAAAAAATCTAGTGTTTGGAATTATTTCTACTTTAAATTTTACTTTTCAATATTCCTATACATATATTAGTTACTTTGTCCCTTTTAATTTTTTTTACGTAATATCTAGGATTTACTAGCAGTGAATTTCTAATAGTAAACATTTTATTTTTATTTTGTAGGTTTCAGTATACAATAGCAATATTCCAAAGTAAAAGATACTAAAAATAGTATTGCAGTTAGGTACATTCTTATAAACATTTTTTTTATTTTTTTTTCTTAATAAAATTTGACAAAAAGTTAATGTGTTATATATTTTTGCAAATCCCTGGCATAAAAAAAAATGTTTTCGCAATAAAAAAAAAATTTTTTGAAACTTTCGGGAATTTTCGATGGAAAGTTTCCGGGAATTTTCGTCAAATGGAAATTTTCCCATCTCTACTTTTTTGTTAAAATTCTTTTTTTTTCATTCTTATTTTTTTAAATTTTACTATTGAGCCATTCCACGCGTAACGGATAGGACAGTTGCCGTGTTTTTATTTACAAAATAATATTGTTCTATTATATTACCAATGTCAAATTTTTATAAATAGTTCTAAAATAAAGCTGTTTAACAAGGTTTTTATTTGGCAAAATTAGGTATTGTGGTTGACTGTTTAATTCCTTAAAAACTAATAATTTAAAGCGTAACGGACGGGACTTCGTAATAGTCCCGTCCGTTACGCTTTAAATTATTAATTTTTAAGGAATTAAACAGTCAATCACGATACCTAATTTTTCCAAATAAAAACCTTGTTAAACAGCTTTTGTTTAGAACTATTTATAAAAATTTGACATTGGTAATATAATAGAACAATATTATTTTGTAAATAAAAACACGGCAACTGTCCTATCCGTTAAGCGTGGAATGGCCCTATTTTTGTCGGCGATAAGATTAGAATACATTGATGTATTGATGCATATGTAGGTACATATTATTTTTCTGGTATTATTTCTAGAATAAAGCAATATGTTACATTTTATCTACATATATTTTAATGCTAAGATTAAATTGTTTTCTTTTCGCAGAAAGGGCCAAAACTATGCTTGATTGTATTAATAAAAGAGAGTAAGTTTCCAATGGCAAAAAACGTAAAAATTGTTATAGGCTTGAGGTAGGGATTTAGCATGGAAAAACCGACCGACCGACATGAGACGAAATAAATGTCATACAACCTGTATGATACAAGTGTGTGCGTGTTTTGCATCGAATATAGATTTTAAATATCAGGAGAGGATAAGGTCGCAGTGGTATACCAACTCCCAATAGTGCATTTTCAACTTGCCATCTAGTATGTAGCGTACAAATTACACTTACCTGTGAGTAGGACAATATCGCAAACCAAGATAAATTTTAAAATGGCTGGGCAAATTCGCACAATAGTATAAATATAAAAAATTGTAGGAGAATTCATATTCTACAATTTTTTTTTTTTTAATTTCAAAAATTTTCAATACTTTCAAAAATTTCTAAAATTAAAAGCGTCAGAAGCTTCTGTCGTTCGTCAACTCACTGATACATCTACTTTGTTTTTACAATATATCTCTAATACTAGTTTTTTAACTTTTAGGATATTGTACAGGGTGTCCCCTGATAAATTGTCATCCTTTAGGAGTATGATAGTACACGCCAAAAGAAGAAAGTTTTTCATCTATCATTTTTAACAAAAAAATTAAAAAATGTGTTTGACAAAACCAGGGACCACTGGATGTCACTGACCTATACTATATATTAGGCTGGTTAAAAAAACAACTATTTTTTTTCTTCTAAAATTTTGCACTGAAATTTTTTCACGGTACCCAAAAAAGACACCTGTGAAAACCGGAGCTCATAATTTTTATTTCCCCATTTAAATAACATGGGAAATTTTGTTTTGTTTCTTTATAATTTTCTAGCTCACAAACTAATTAGCAGATTTTTATGCGCGATATTATTCTTGTGGGAAATTGAACGCTCTAAAAATGTCTCCTATCATTTTTCGATAAACCAACGAGGTCAAAACATATTCAAAGTCAAAGTTAAATTTATGTCATAATTGCATTTTTTACTTCAATTTTAGGCAAATTTATTAGTCAGTTATTATCAAATATAAAAAAAATCATTCAAAAAATCAAAATTACCATGTTCAATAAGCCTTTTAAATTAATTCCACTGAAAAACGTACTATTTCTGGAAATAATTAATTAAAAAGGATTTTATCCAATCAAAAAAAATTTAATCAATTCTTAAAATAGTAGGTGTTTCAGTGCTTATTGAACATAGTAATTTTAATTTTTTGAATGATTTTTTTTATATTTGATAATAATAATAATAATAATTTTGATTTTTTGAATGATTTTTTTTATATTTGATAATAACTAACTAGGAATTTGCCTAAAATTGAAGTAAAAAATGCAATTATGAAATTTAACTTCGACTTTGAATAACTTTTGAACTAGTTGGTTTATCGAAAAATTATAGGAGACATTTTTTGTAGAGCGTTCAATTTCCCACAAGAATATATATCGCGCTTAAAAATCTGTTAATTAATTTGTGAGCTAGAAAATTATAAAGAAACAAAACAAAATTTCCCATGTTATTTAAATGGGAAATGGAAATTCTCGATGCGCGTCCTCTAAATATTAAAATTAAGAGCTCCGGTTTTTACAGGTGTCTTTTTTTGGTACCGTGAACATATTTCAGTGCGAAATTTCAGGAAAAAAAAATAGTTGATTTTTTTTAACCAGCCTACTATCGAGCCTACTATATATCATTGTTTTTACCTCTAAAAACAATGGTATTATTCATCCAAGCAAAAAACATTGTATTATGTAATATCAAGCAAACTTTTAAACTTATTCGGTTAGTAGGTACTTTGTTATCATTGATCATTGACAGTTTAGTGTACCAGAGCGAAGTTGACATATTAGAACAACTGATATGATAGTAAGAGCGGCACATCATTTTTTACGCCGCTGTCAACTTTTTGGGGATAGTTAAACATTTATTAAGATTTTGTGAAACATTTAAAAAATAGCTACATCAATCGACGTAAAAAGTGAAATTTAAAATCGACGGGAAAACAACGGAAACCTCGAGATACCTAACAATAAAAAGTAAGTATTGTTTTATTTAAAGTACCTAAAATAGCTGAGTATGCAAAACAGAAAACAATTATCAACAAAGTAATCAATGATAACTCAAATGTAGAATGAATGTAGATTATTGCCCACTGTGCAAGCATATTTTGCGTCAGTTGTCATAGGCCAGGAACAACCAGTGGCGGCCCAAAATTTCTACTTATAAAAATTTTAACGGTTTTTTTATAGACAAAAAAATTCACTAATGCAAAAATGATAGAGGAAAATCTTTCTTATTATGGCGTGTATTATCATACCCTTAAAGGATGACAACTTATTTGGTGACACCCTGTATTATCTCGATAAAATATATAAATCTTTCTTACTGCGTGTCCCTGATTTTGCTGCATTAATCCAGGCGGACCTTGGAATGGCGAATTCAATCCCAATAATTGATTGGGCATCATGGGCGTCGGCATGTTCGGGGGCGGCACCCCGATTGGGATGTTGGGCATCATGCCCGGCGGCACGTTCATTCCCGGCGGCACGTTCATTCCCGGCGGCACGTTCATACCCGGCGGCACGTTCATTCCCGGAGGCACGTTCATTCCCGGAGGCACGTTCATTCCCGGCGGCACGTTCATGCCCAAAAATCTGTTATTTAATTGGAATGGCGACACGAGGGGCAGCAGTGGCGGCTGAAGTAGACCAGCGCCTGGCAACGGAGGCGGCTGGCTGGTGTCCACGGTCGGGGGGGCGGCGGCGACTGAGGCTGCCGTCACGTCTGGCATTGCCATGAAAGGATTCGCTTGACGATTAGCCATCATGGTAGCCTTGTTTTTGAGCCAGTCGGGCATTGTGTCCTCATCGAGCATGCTGCCGTCCTCGAGCAATTCCAGGTCGATGTCCGGTTTGATTTTGCTGTAGGGTATGTAGGAAACGCCCAGGTCGCCTTCCCAGTAGTCTTTCAGGTCTTTGCCTTTGACCCCCTTGCCTGGAGCCCAGGCCAGGGTTATTGCTTTGCCATGCAGCACGTGATTCTTTAGTTTGTTCAGGCATCTGGTTGCGTCTTGGCGTCTGTGCATCACGATAAAAGCACAACCCCTTGGCGGAATCAGGTCAATGCTGACTACGTCTCCGAATTCGCCGAAGGTGTTTGATAAATCGTCTTGGTGAACCAATTTCGAAAGATGACCCACCCACAATGTTGTACTGCAAACTAAACACAAACAGTTTTAATAGTTTTAAAGTAACCACAAGAGTGTAGCAAGGGGCATTTAGGAATTGTTTAGATCGTTACAATTTTTTTTTAATTGTAGGTACCTAAATGTTAACTACATAAAAAAAAATATAAAAAATTAAGTGAATTTATTTTTTCTAAAAATTGCAAAAAAAATGAGGTCAAAATTTTGACCACTGCCACATTTTTTTTTCTACTTCATATTTTTTTTGTTTGAAGTTGATAATATGAACAACTTTCACAAAAAGTCCCGAGTTGGCTATAAAGTCATTGTTTCGAAATTATTATTTTTTTATTGAAAATGCTAGTTTCTAGTAAATTCGTGGTTAATCGCAAAAATTTGGTACTTTATCTAGGGTCATGAAACTGGGGTGACCTTTATAAAGTGTAATTTAGAACTTTTTGACATATTTAACATATTTTTGTTAGTTCCGGTTTTACCGGAAAAGGTCTTTTTATTTTTAAATGAAACACCCTATTCCTTTTTACATATTTCGGTTCAAAATAAAATTTTGAATATGTATCCATGTCATGTCATGTCATTTGTCAATTTTTGACAGGTCAAATAACTTTTTGATTAAATTTTATTTCTATATTCAGAGTGCCTTGAATTGGCTTTTCTGCTTCATGTTGGGCCAAGTAGTCTGGAAAAAATAAATTTTATTCGTTTTTGCAATGCTGATTTTAGGAGCTTTCAAAAATTGAAAAACTATAGTTTATGCCAATACTATTTTTTTATAATAAAAGAGAGGTTCGTTGGTCATAAAAGAAATCCACTTTTATTAAAATTGATACCAAATATTAATGCATTTTTTAATAATATCGCTTTCAAACTTTTAAATAAATTTGAATGTTTATTAGGTTTTAAAGTGTGTACAGAAGTAAATAAATTAAGAATGCTTTGAAACCTTTGTGTTTAAAAGAAGTATCAGATTTGACAGTTTGTTAGTTTGTTTTGCTTGTAAGAGAATATTAACATTTTATTTTACTATGAAAACATATGCTTAAATATAAATATTTAATTGAGGTGGTTAGAATTAAAGAGTTGTAAGTAATTGCTTAACATTTTTTGGTTTTAAAACTACCAAATAAAATCATTAAACTATTTTGAAAAAATTATATCTAACCACTCCATAGTTTGGCCATTGAAGGGAATTTCTGGCAATAAATAAAAAAACGAAATATGAAATCAAATAAAAATTTGTTATTGGACCTCTTGGGCTTAATACTTATTTTCCTTTTTGATAGAGCCTCAGTCAAAAAGAATATAGTCATTTAACTTGAAACTTTGAAATATCTCAGTTAGTATGCATTTTACGAAAAAATGTTTAAAATAAAAATTAAATTATTCGAGAGGGGAAATCAATCAGTACTAAAATTGGTCCTCATACTCTCCTCCTGGGGGAACAGGGGGTAACTTTAAAATTTACAATGGAACACCCTATTTTTTATTGCAGATTCGGATCATTCGACTAAAAATAGGTAGATTTTAGAATCGTATGCAGAAGAAAAATCGAACAAAATTGATTTATTTTTTCATTACAGCGCCATCTATTACAAATATGAAAAAATGTTTTAGACAAAATCTACCTATTTTTAGTCGAATGATCCGAATCTGCAATAAAAAATAGGGTGTTCCATTGGAAATTTTAAAGTTACCCCCTGTTCCCCCTATAAGCAGAAGAGTATGAGAACCAATTTTAGAACTGATTGATTTCGTCCTTAAGCATCGATTGTTGCAGATTATTATAAAAAATTGTACAAATTGTGTTTATCATATTCTACCACTGGATTGTGCAAACAATGTTATAAGGCTTGTTGGCAACGCGAACAGTTATTAGATTGCGAAGACAAATTTGGGAACACAAGATCTTCAGACAAATTTATTTTTTTGCAAATTCGTGTTCCTTGTAAAAATGTTATAAGCAGTAAATTAGGCTATCAATTTAACTTATTGCTTTACATTTTAAGATTCAAGTAAAAAAATTTTTGAAAAGAAGTTTTGCCACGCCCCTAAGTAACTATCATCAAAAAGCAAGACCAATGAGCATTATTATAGTAAAGGAATATATAATTTTTTTTATTATTTTAGTTATTGGTAGAAATGACATAAAAAACTATCATTAACCAAATACAAAAATAAGACATTCCAAGTAAACACAGGTCTTGTGAATAAGAAGAACATTAAGAGTATTTTTATGGCAAATTAGATAAAACACAATGTTTAGTTAATTTAACAAACTTACCGCTTAGGTTTTCGGGTTTAATTGCCGGCAATCCACGTTTTTTTCGCTCCTTATCCTTTTCGGATTCCTTTTCTTTCTCTTTATCCTTATCTTTGCCCCTGTTCCTCTCCCTAGAACGACTTCTGTGTCTTCTACCCCTAGATCTAGACCTGCTCCTTCCTCTTCTTCTATCCCTATCTCTGCCCCTATCTCTCGACCTAGATCTGCTCCTTCTCCTCCTATCTCTGTACCTTTCATCGGGCGACGGGCTGCGCGAATCGTCGTGGTCCAAATTAATTACTTCCACGTCCCTGCCATTGTTGTTTCCACCAGAAAAGTCGCCGTTGTTTTGCTGGTTTGGGTCGTATTCCGACGTCTTGTAACCGGGCGGTGGAAGTTGAAGATCTTGGCCAGGCGGCATGAAATACCCGCCCATCATGGATGGGTTGTTTCCGCCCGGTTTAAATTCGCATTCTGCGGCAAATGGCAAATTCTGAAAACAGAAAAAACTTCATGTGATAATATTTCAAAACCAAAGAATAACTTAACTTTTGTATTATATTAATTGGAGCCAGTTTGTAAATGATTGGAATGGCGGCCATTATGAAATGTTTAGTAATACTGATGTTATTAAAGACTAACAATAATTACAACTACAAACTTTTATTGATAAAACATTAATCAAATATTTTGTAACTAATAAAATAGGCATAATTTAAATTATTCATAGCCTATTGATTTTGTTGGTCTTAAATTACTTTCTAACAACTTAAAATAATAAATTCTTTTTAATGCTGAAGAAAACGTGATGAATAAATTAAGATGTGGTTTATCAATATTATAACTTACCGGAACAGTTTGTGCTAAGTGTTTGTCAAATTCATCTTCTTGTTGTTTCATTTCTTGAAGTTTTCTTATTTTATCAATATCCATGTCGTTTCCAGTTTGCATGCCTTGTTGAATTGTCTGGAGGTGTCTGATAACTTCTGGATTTTGCAAAAGACTAAAATAACAAAATAAATCAAAATATTTGGATCCTTAACAATAGCTAAATTCAATTTTTTTAGCAAATTGTTTATGTATATTAACTTTTAAAAGCTCAATTGTTTTGATAACATTATACAAATTGAAGACTTAATTTTACTTGATCCTTATAGAACTGTGTTATTTTTGTACATATTCTTTTCTTTAGTTTTATTTATGTATTAAACAAAAATTATGTATTGTTTAAATGCGAGTATATTTAAAGTTTATACATTTGTCTGAACACAATTATTATAGTTCAGTAATCTCAACTGGTTCAATAATATAAAGACATACTAAGTATGGTCCAAGAATTGCTTTTATAAAAGCATATGATAATAAAATATCAGTTTGGAGTTCAAAATATCTTGATTCAAGAGTTTAGCGAGTGACACCTTACAGATAATTTAATTATATTTAATAAAATAGTATATTATTATACAAGAGATACTATGCTTTATCTACTCCAATAAGTAGATAACTAATGATTTTCAAAAATAAATAAATAAAATCTGACATCTGTCAAATGGTTAACCTCACTTTTTACCAATTTTAAATATTATGATAGGACCTATCAGATAGGTTTTCGCTTTTTCCCAATTTAAAACCCAATATTATGCAAAAGGAGTAGATAAAATCTTGTTTCCTATATAGTATTTACAATACTTAGGCAGAGCTGGGCAGTAGTTAACTACAAATGTAGTTAACTACGTAGTTAACTAGTTTTTTTCTAAAAACAATCGTATTTTAACTACTTTTTTTACCTAGTAGTTATACTTGATTATTTTAGGTTTTCATAAAATATTCATAGTTAACTACTCAGTCGTAACTACTTTGTATAGTTAAACTACTTTAATATATTTTAACTACTTTTACATAATTTAACTACTTTTGAGGTACCGTAAATACGGGTGACTTTGCACCCCGAGGGTGACTTTAACCCATTTATGAAAAATCTTTTCGCGCTCGATAAAATTAACATTTATAATTTGTTGGTCTAAACCTGTCAATTGAGCGATTCTATTGAGTTTATATTACAGGAAAATCAGTGTTTTAAAGAAAGAAATGGGATTTATTACACTTTAAAATTGTATATATCGTATCAGTGCAAAACTCTTAGAAATACACGCGTTACAATTTCTATATTATGCGCAATACATTGGAATGATGATCCTTGGTTAACTACAGGTCGATTTTTTATTTTTTTTATTGGTAATCCCTTGCAATAGATATATGTCGCTGCTAACACGTGTCTTATAAAAATAAAATATAATATTACATTCATTTTATACTGAAAAAACACTGTGAGACAAAGTAACCCGCAACCAGGGGGTAACTTTGCACACCCAGTTTTTAATGTTTATTTTTGAAACTCAGCCCTATGTAATATTATAACATAGTTATTATGAAAGAGCAACTCAAGACTCAAATTTTGGTATACAAAATTTAATGTTTATGATTGTTAAAACCCCAAAAATTTTAAGCTGAAGTTTGAAAGTGAGCCAAAGCCACCCGTGTTTACGGTAGTTATTTAAGTAATTTCCTAGATATGCCATGTGCATGATTGTATCCCTGCAGAAACAGGTTATTAGTTGTTGACAAGAACTTCGCCTAGCGCATTTTGTCTTATTTACTACTGTTATTGAGCAATCCTACATTTCGACAAGTAAAGTGCATAAGTGCAATAAATAAAGAATAATTATGTCTGAAATTGATATTTTTCAGGAGTTAAGTAAAAACGTAAGATTAATTAATTAATTTTCCAATGCTTGGTTCTTCAATCTCCGATTAACTTAAGTCTTAAGATTGCCTGCAACTTTGACTTAACCTGTAGTTTAAGAGTGTTTTTTAATTGCCGGTTAAAAGATTATTATAAGTATATTGTCGAATAAGTTACGCCAATTTACGCAATTTACGCCAATTCACGCAAAGTTACGCCAATTTCCATACTTAAAATCTGTTCTGTCCTTAAAATACAATAATTGTATTTATTGGTGTTTAAATTCATCTGGCAAAAATTAATTTTTATCCGCTTAATTTAGAACTAATAAACGGGTTTTAGCAATGATTAAAAAGTGGGTTCCGTAGCACTATAGTTTCGCTCAAAACTGCGCAAACATACAAAAAATTAATTTTAAAAAATAGACATAAAATTTTGTTTTTTAATAAAAGATTAAAATCCTAAGCAAACATATTTATTATGTTTTAACATATACTTTAAATTAAAATAATAATAATAATATTAAGTGATTTATTAAATTTTATAACTTTGAGTTATTTTGCCATTTTGGTAGCTGTAATATGTCAGAGAGAGAGTAGTTAAAAAAAGTAGTTAAATTTTTAACTACTAACTACTTGTAGTTAGTAATCTAACTACTTTTTTGTATAAGTAGTTTAACTACTAGGTATACTCCACTACTTTTTTTATGTAGTTTGCCCAGCTCTGTACTTAGGTTATTATAACATTTAGCTGAATTAAACCAAATGCATCTTTAAGAAAATCTGTAAGCATAAATATATCCTCCCTAAAATAGAAACCCTTTTTGAATGGTCTCTAATCTGCAGAGTGGATTCCACATCAGAATTGGCCTTTACACATTAATAACGGTACATTACAGACCAGGCGGAGAAAGCTCATATTATAGCATTGAGCCAAGCATACAATCTTTTTCAAGCATTTATTAAAATATTTATTAAGCATTTTGTTACATCATTTTTAGGTTTTGTCGGGTTATGTTGACATGATGACATTTTAGCTTTATTTTTGTACGAATGTTTATAATACTTTGACTTTTAAACTGGTATTAAAATAAAGTTATTCTATATAGTATATGAGTGTTATAATATAATAGTTTATACGAGAGATTATTCAGGATTAAGTTTGTGTGTCAAGCCTTCAGGCGAGAGACGTATCATCCGAGTGAATAATGCGCATTATCTCGAGTGCAATACAAGGCTTTTTCTACTATAATTAAGTAATTTTCTTTAATACCAACACTTATTATAACCTTACTTTTTTTCGATTTTAATGATCATTATAGTCGCACCTTGTATATATAAAAAAATCTGACATCTGTTAGAAAGTTCCAACCCAGAGATATATACATATATATATATATATATCTTTGTTCCAACCTCACTTTTCCCTATTTAAAACCCTATTGGTTCAAATCATAGTGGATATTAAAATTAGCCAATCTCTGATGCCCAAACAACGTAAATAATAAGTTAATTATTCCCGTTTTTTGGCTGTTATAATAATATGCAATAGGAGCGGAACAAATTTTTATACGCTTGAAAAAAATTATTATTTATTTTTCAAATACCCCATTCTGAATTTTACGCAGGTTGTAGTTTTTGGTGCGCAAAAAATGCAGTCATTATTAAACATACCCAGAGGTTAAGGATTGTTTATAGTACCTAGATACTGAATCCTGGGGAGGCCTCGGGGACGGATTGACTTCTTCATCATCGTCACCGTAATCATAGTCAAGGAGTTTTTTGTCAAAATGCACCGGACAGTCAGCCTTGCCTGCGTCTGCGCCCCTCTGAAGTAATCTTTGCAATTGGGCTAATATCATCGGATCGGTCAAATTCTGAAATAAAGTTTGTTAATTTAAAATTTAGTTTTAAAAAATTAAACGTAACACTAAAGCTGGTATTTGTCTAAACACGATGTTATACATATAACGCCAGTATTCTATTTTTGTGTAACATATTTTTTTAAGATTTTGCGCTTAATACGTAATCTCTCCCTCTCACCATTTAATACATCACTGTTTACAAAGTTGTGTTTGATGCACAAATTTTTTTTTTAATTGTATAATTAAAATTTCGCATTGCTAACTAAACATTGACAAATCTGGTTTATTTAAAGTTTAATTTGTCTGATTTTGTACAAAATTAAATCTTGTAACATTTGTTATAAAAATGTATTAAATAATTAAATTATTAATTACTAATAAACAATGTGTAAAAGGGATAAGCCAGATATTCTCTAAGTCATTACCTTTACCTAAATCATAAAATATACATGTAATCAACATTTTGCCTAATATATTTTTTAACACTTGTAAATACATTGCAAGATAAAAGAGACAAAATTAAAACTTTCAAAGTAGTTACATAGAAATTATTCTTAAATGAGGTTTATTATAACTTTATTTCTATTTTGAACAATAATTAATAATAATTTTTATTTTGAACAATAATTAATTTTGCCGTGCTAATCACAAGTATTTACAATATTAAATGTATATAGACAAAAAACATTTGTATTGATAAAAACAATTAAAATTGACTTTTGGCCTTAATCTTGTAGATACTGCCTTTGTGCTTAGCACGGCAGAATTGTACTCACAAAAAACTTTTGATTAGCTTAAGTTTACACAAATTTATTGTTTTTTTAATTTATTTACAAATGTATATGTAAGTTTTTTATATTTTTTTATAAAACGTTTTAATTTGATTTGTGAAATAAAATACTTTTAACTTGAGCTTTGATTAAAAGTATCTTACTACATAAGTCCAGGCATCTAAAATAAAAGTATGCACTCACTATCAGAAAAATGACAAAAAGTTTAAAATAAAAAGCCTAAAATTACATTGAAATATTTGTACATTTTGTTATGTTATTTAAACAAAAACCCATGCAAATTTTATTGTGATATTAGTTTTTTTATTTTTAAGATGTTATTGGAATCCTTGAGTTAATTTTCTATAACTGACATATAGTCCCAATCAAACTTATTGCCAATAATACATTTTTTCTTGTTAAGAATTCCAACAAGGATAATAGAAATCTGATTGGCTTTTACAAATAAATGACCACTTGGAAGAAAATTGTCAATATTTTGAAAAACTGTAAAATGTAAGTTTTAGCGTGTTTAATTTATAATAATATACCTAATATTATATTATGTATCAAGTTTTATAAACGCCATTTTAGTTACGAGTTTTATTAGGCACGAGCGAAGCTTGGAAGCGAGTGTTTATTAAAAAGAAGTGTCTGGAGAAGTTTTTAAAACGAGTTGCATACTATACTTTATCTACGACTAACACAAAGAAGAATTTAAAGCCAATTTTATTTGTTAAGCATTTGACATCTTTCAGCTTTTAACGGATTTAACCTCACTTTTCCCTCATTTATAATAAAGTCAACTTCAGCCCATCACTAAAATGCCCTAAAGCCACTGTTGACAACTTTAGCCCGTGACTAAAATGTCATAAAGTCAGAGCTTGTCAATGTAGGAGTAGATAAATACTTTTATCCCTATTGATAAGCTGTGAATTTATGGTGTTTTAGTCACAGGCTGATGTTAGCAACAGTGGCTTTTGGGCATTTTAGTCAGGAGCTCTAGAAACTCGTTTTTTATTAAACACTTGCTCGCAAGCTTTGCTCGTGCCTAATAAAACTTGTAACTAAAATGGCGTTTATACAACGATACATAATATACTATTATACACAGCTGTTACAAACAAACCTTATCTTTTTAAAGTCTCTAAAATGTAAACAGTTCTGCCAACATTTTAAATAAAAAATTACTTATTTTATTCTAGCAATAGATTTGATTGGTGCTATAGCAACAGTTTTATTTTCTTTTTGCTAAGTAAACGGTCATCCCATGGATTCTAGTTTCCACAAAAATAGAATACGAAAAGACGTTCTTCCGGGTTTGTTTTGGAAGGACCAAGTACCAAATTAGCAGGTCCGTGTGCGACGTCGTTCCCTTGTGGCTGATTTCCCTTGGTCGGGGTCTTTTGAAGAGCCGGTGAACCTAATATGAACAACTTATTTAGACAAATACCAGCGCATCGCAACATGCCATCATCAAAAAAATAATAAATGGATTATTTTTCAAACAACTATATTCCATTTTATATAAAGACTTTATTGCATCAAGGAGTTAACCATTTTGTTAACGAAAATGCATTAATATTATATTGTGCGAATAGTGGGAGAAAGTGATTCCTCGAGCGTGAAGTCGCACAAAATAAAATATTTATTTAACTACGGCAAGAAATATACATTACAGTGTAAATTATGAACAATTAAAGAACCAAAAAAATTATGGCACAAGGAATATAAAGCCAATTTTGTTTGATATTTTATATGATATTTGACATAGACAGTGTCTTTTTTTCAATTTAAATTTAAAGCAGTTCATGGGTAAAGTAGCATTTAGTTAAGTTAAAGTTAAGAAATGAACAATTAGTAAATTCAATATTTCTCCCACCCTCAGCAGGGCCACGAAGTTACATATTTCTTGTTGGTGTTGAATAAATATTCTTTATGCATTTTTACAGTTTTAGATAATATTTAAAAATATAATATTGTACGTTATTTAAATCAGGGTCATAGACTATTATGCATGTGTGTCACACTTGCACGCCTTACAATTTTGACAATAGGGTTCTATGTTGTTGTTTGACGTTTAACACGCAAGCATTTATGACACAAATGCATGCCAGTCTATGGGCCGACTTAAAGCTATTGTGGATTTTGATTAAGATTAAGTCAATACCTGTTTTAATTGAATAATCAAAGTACAGTGTAAGTTATTTTAAACTGGTTTCTTTAAAGTTTATTTAGGTTAGTCATATTTTCAGTTTTGACCCTTGTTAATGCAGGCCGAGATTTTTAACTCACAATAAAGGAACTAAAATTTTTAGCAGCATTTTATTTTAGGAAAATAAACGCAAATCAATATACTTAATAGGTAAACACATTGCATTTTTGAATAATCTATAAAAAATTAAATAAAAATTTAAAAACACCTTTTTAGAGATCCGATATCTATGAACGAACGGTTAAATGTTTGACCTTAATGGCTTTGTTGACAGAACATTGTTTTGGTTTTCTTATTCCTTTTCTATGGTTTTCTTGGATTATTTACCCTTAAAATTTAATTTTATCATAATTATGCAAGTAGGTAACATAATATGTAAAAAACTAGCCTTGTAATTTTAAAATTTATTGTTTTAAATTGTCAACATAACCAATAAAACCCTAAGAATTTAAAGCTTTTAAGATCAGAGAGTAAAAATGGCGCTGTTTTTGACTCCTCTAGCTTGATAGGGGTTTCCGGACACGAGCTCAAGAACACAAATGCTCGTCTCGGCGTGGCTACCCCCTTGGTTTGTACCATATTCTTTATATCCTCTATCCGATTTATTATGTTTGAAAAAAGCATTCATATTACATTTCCCTTTATTTTAAATAATGCAAATGTCTCCTTGTTGCAGCTGCTTGTATTTTTTTATAAGATAATATAATAAACTTACCTTGATAAACCCTTTTATTTTATTAAAATTACCTTTCTACAAAGTTAACATAATCGTAATCTATCCATTTATTATTATAACATTGAAAAAAATTGCTTTTTACTATTTTTCTGGCATGTTGCTAAACTTTCATGACGAAAAACAAAAGCTCTACCAACCTTTGGCGATATTTGCGGCCGCTTGGTTTATCCCGTTAGCCGCCTGGGCTTCCAGCTCTTTATGGATAGGATTGTTGGGATCGGCCAGGTCGAATAGCGGCTGTACCACTTCCGGCGCGAAAACTTGGTTTTTCTGCCATAGGTTCAATACCCTTATGATTTTACTCTGAAAAAAAGAAAAAAGTTATTCTTTAAACTGCCTTTACGTGAAAATCAAACTCAAATTAAATTGTTATGCCGATATTAAGGCGGATTTACAAGTTACTAAAATCCAGTACTATAGAAAATGATTTCTATAGGAAGCAATAAACTAATCAGAGCACAGCATTCTCCACCACACACTAGATTTAACCAGATAATGCCAATCTTCAGTTTAGGTTTCTACATGTTTTAAAATTTGGGTAGAGTTTAATTTTAAAACAACCCCTAGAAATTTGGTAATTACTTAGTGATATTTAAGTACTTTTTAAAGTCTAGTGAATATATGCAATGATTTTATCCGAGTAGTCATAATTACGACAAGACTGTTCAGAACAGAATAGAACAAATTTATGGGTTTAGGGTTTTATGTACTGTAACTTTTTTTCATATTTTGCGCTATATAATTACCTCTTAAAATTTTTGTATGGAATTCGGAGGCACCCTGTATTACTTTATTAATTTAATGCATAACATTTTTTTACAGCGCATTTCAAAGGACAATTTTTGTTTTGAAAATGCAATATTTTAATCGACCATTATAAATAAGCATTTCAACATGTTAATGAATTTACATACAAATACTATAGTACTTAAAGACTTGTAAATATATTACATAATATGTATTAAATATATTACATAATATATATTATATTAATTATACTTTTTGCGTTTTTAAAATAATTGGTACAAAATTACAATTTAAAAATGTCTTTGGTAAAAATTACAATTTATACCAAGTAAACGACTTTATTAACACAATAGTCATAGTTGACTGGTCCAATATGTTTTATATACGCTGTAAACTGTGTGATCAATAAATATTATTAATAATATTATTATTTACGAACTCTTTATTACCTAGAAGTTGTTATAGATTCTTTATGTACTCATCAGATAAAGGCTAGATTTAACCTAAATCTTTTTAAATAAACTGACCCCTTTAAAGATTTGTTAATAAATATGTTTGTTAAAATTTATAAGGAAAATGTTGTCTAAAGGATTAAACAGCATCTTATTATGTTTGCATCATGATCTTATAAAAAAAATGTATATGCGTAAAATGCACAATCTGTCTTCTGTAAATATAAAATGTATTTCTTATTAAAATCATATTTTAAGTTTATCTAACATTAGGTGCTATCAGTGTTGGCATAAATTAATTTAGTGATTTAATTCAAAAGTCATGAATTAATTTAAACTTTTACTTCTAATTTAATTGCATCGGGAAACGGGCAAAAAAGAATGCTTAATTTATTGAATCTTGAACATTCTGAATCTGAAGGTTTTTTATAATTAATTAATATTATTTACGGAAAAATTAAGTAAAGTAAACAAGAACAATAAAATGGCGAGTTAAGTTTTAAAATTTTCAAAAGTATTTTTTGGTGAAGAGTGATTTGAAATAAAATTAAAATTTAGTAGTTAAAAAGTAAAATAATAATAAGGAAATTACTCAAAAAAATTAAATAATCATTGCAATATTAAACTTATATTAACTTATTTTTACAGGTATATTTTAATCAAATATATAAAAGAAATATTTGCAATTTTTGTTCATATTTTGTAAATAAAAGAAGGGTATTAATGCAAAAAGTCGGAATTAATTCCCCAAGTCATGACTTTTTCCAACCCTGGGTGCTATGATTTAAATATCAATGTACAAGAAGATGGGGATTTTTATTAAGTGTTGTTAGTTATAGTACCCAAATATGTATGGTATACAAGGCGCAGGGTTTGCTCCTAGAGGGGGAAGGTTATCAAACATAAAAAAATATGTATAGGTTATTTTTTAGTATTAGAAGTGAACACTTTAGTTTAAAACCTTCCTGGGGGGAATTTAAACACCCGAAACCCCCCGTACGCACGGGCCTGATGGTATATAATATTATAACATTTATTACGATTATATGGTATATATAATATGTATTACATAATATGTAATACATATCTAACTTGTAACTTTCTGGTGGTATTTTTAACGAATCAAGATATTAAAAGAGTAACATCATACCCCGATTGTGTTAAAAAACCATGACAAAAGCATTACGTAAATTTAAAATATCTTATCTTGTGTGTTCAGTAAATATTAACTTAGACTATAGTGACTAGAGGAAACAATACATAATATTAAGAACGACGAACTAAAGTGTTGTATTTAGGAGAGAATTTGATCTTTGAACAGGTTACGGCCACGTAAAACTGCTTGCTATATAAAATAAAGACATTTTTTTTCAAATTTGTAATATGCAGTATACTATAGCATTCTTACGTTTTATATTGCATGCCTCTTTTTACTAAAAGGGATATCGGTTCTTTACCTCCACTATATAATATAAAAATATTTTAAGGTCAGAAACTTATGAATTAAAATTAAGAAGACTAATTAAAGGAGGAGAAACTCTCGAACACAAGCCAAAATATATTAGCCAAATAGGGTGCGGCTGCGCTAGGCGTTAGTAGTAACCTACGAATGCGCAAAATTATCTGTTTGCGAGTGTATGTATTGTAAAGTACCCAGCAAGGATAAAAGCTTTTTTTCGTGTACGATTGAAAACAATCTATTTTATTATTTAAAACTTATTACCAATCCCGGCATTGGGACTTTTAATCCCGGGATTTTCGAGATCGGAATTTTTACGGGGTTCCGGGACCCCGGGATTTCGGATATTTCGGGTATGTATCTTGCACAGATCAAACGGCAAGCAAAATATCAATCCCAGCCACAGTGGGCGGGGTTTATATAAGTTTGACACTCATTTTATTCAATTCTATCTATTCGTTTAAATATACACTGTATACGATCTCTAAAGTCTATGTCTGACGGTGCAATTTCTCGCGGCGACTTTGTCGCGGTGTTCACACGATGCAACTAATCATCTGATCTAACTTGTCCTAAAATAGAACATCTTCTATTTTTATACGCGGCGACTTAGTAACTTTTATAGGGGTTTACGAATTTTTACTAAATATTTTGGTTGGTACTTAATACTTATCAGCTGTGGAATGACAGATGAGTTTCATCTTGTGCTTTGCATTGAAGCTTTATAATCTATGCGTTTTTTTATTTACAGGCCTTGGGGATTTTACACAACAAAATACTCACAACGAAAATTTTTTTCACTAATTTTTGGTTAAGTTGACAATCGTAGTAGAAAATAGCGTCAATTTGGTTGCATCGAGTAAACACCCTAGAGTCGACAAAGTCGCTGCAAACTGTTCGCCGAGAAGTTGCACCGTCAGACATAAGCCTAATGTTTACATTAGGGTGTGCCAAAAAAAGAGTTATTTTTTTTTCATGCTCTCACCCCAAAATCTCTCAGAGAATGCTCAAATAAAGCTTCTGTTAAAACCAGAGATCCATATTCAAATTTTAAGAGGTTCTCCATCGAACTTTAAGTTTTTCCGTCTGAATAACATGGAAAACATGGTTTTTTGACACTTTTTTGTCCTGCAAGGTGTGAAATTTTTTTTTTATGAAAATACATAAATGGACCTTTTTTATCATTAAATTTACTACAAAAAGTTCTATGAAGTCAAATTTTTATCTTCAATACTTGATTTTTGACAGAGCTTTAAACTTCAAATTATCGGTTTTTGTAGGGGTATAACTTTGTAGCTTTAAACTTCAAATTATCGGTTTTTGTAGGGCTATAACTTTGTAGCTATTGCTGATACAAAAAAGTTGATCAGGACTTTTTTGTAGGATTTTAAACGTTCTAGAAATCGGCTGTTTAACATTTTTTCTCTAACTCTTATGGTATAGCTAAAAATGCAGAAAACCGATAATTTGAAGTTTAATGCTCTGTCAAAAATCAAGTATTGAAGATAAAAATTTGACTTCATAGAACTTTTTGTAGTAAATTTAATGATAAAAAAGGTCCATTTATGTATTTTCATAAAAAAAAAATTCACACCTTGCAGGACAAAAAAGTGTCAAAAAATCATTTTTTCCATGTTATTTAGACGGAAAAACTAAGTTCGATGGAGAACCTCTTAAAATTTGAATATGGATCTCTGCTTTTAACAGAAGCTTTATTTGAGCATTCTCTGAGAGATTTTGGGGTGAGAGCATGAAAAAAAAAATAACTCTTTTTTTGGCACACCCTAGTTTACATGCAAACTTTTTCCTTACATTTTTAATATATTTTGCGACCAGGAAAATAATTCAGATGGGCGCAAACAATACCTGCAATTTCAAGGATCCAAACGGTGTTCCAACAAGACGGATCGAAGTTAACAGTAACAATCATTTTTAATAATAATAATAATAAATGTCTTTATTTATTTTTTAAATTTCTAAGATTACAAAGGTACGATCTTAGTGGATGGATATCCAGCATATGGGAAATTCTTTTACAAACCGAACACCTTTTGACTGACACATCTCAGATTTGGCTGATATGAAACTTTTTTTACGAATTCTATGTCGAAAAATAAGAGATACGTGTCCGAGGAATTTTTTTTCTCTCGCATATTTTCGATAAAACAAGCTATCGAAAATTTGAGAATAACAAGTTTATTGTCTTGGAGACTCATTTTCAAAAATTTATAACTCTGGTTCTATTTGAGATACAAACTTCTTTTTTTTTCATTTTAAAGCTAAAGGACTAAATTTTGATAAAAAATATGTTTAATAAATATTATTAATAGTCTAAGATCCCAAGTAAGGTCGACCTTCACCCATCTGCTTACCAGATGAAAATTATATTTTATCAAATAAAATATGTTTCTGAACATAAACCAATAGGGTTGCCATAAAAAATATGATCAAGGCTAGCTATAATAAATAAAAAATTTAAAAAAAATAATTATTTTTTTAAATTTCACCGACTTGCTTGCCAAATGAACGAAATTCCAATGGAAAGCATACAACATACATAATATGTAACAGCTAGGTTGCCTACCTTTTTCTGGTCCCTATTACCTGGTTGCTTTGTACAGGGTGATCCCCTATAATGTCGCCCC